GTTGGGAGGTAGAGTTGGTGTGAAATAATGAAGGAAAAGAGGCGCGCGGACCTCTGAGAAGACAGGTGGTTAGAGAGAGGTGAAGTTATAGATGGCTTGATAGTGAGCAGAAAGTGGATCGAGATTGCTAGGTTGAGAGGTGGGCGCGGACGTCGGAGAGGACAGTCACGCACATATGGTGAATTTGGAGTGACTACATACCCATCCGTGAAACAATTAAGTAATGAAACAATAGGCGAGAGCTTTCAATACAACTGATAGCTCATGACAGGTAATAAATGACAGATGGTCGGATTGGGGTATGCTGATAGTTATAGCCTGGGAAAGCCACTTTTAAGAAAACAAGAGTTGAAAATGGTTTGGCTCAACCGGCAATGGGTATGGTTGAGTGATCGTGTGAATGTGGGTTTCCCGGCAATGCGCTATTAGCTAATCCATGTTACCGTAAATAATGCAGATTTTTAAATATCGCTCTAAATAAGCCGATTTAAGTCAAAATGAATTGAAATTTGTGTCATGATGTTTATAAACATACGCTCATTCATTTACAACCTTCAAAACATGGAAAAACATGTATTTTGAGTAAAAGGATATATTCTCGCCCATGGGCCAAAATGTTTTTCGCCCATGGGCGAGATTTTTTAATATCGCTCTAAGTTAGTCGAATTAAGTCAAAATGAGTTGAAATTTGTGTCATGATGCTTATAAACATACACCCATTCATTTACAACCTCCAAAACATGAATTCTGATCGAAATGCTACATTTCTCGCCCATGGGCCAACATATTTTTTCGCCCATGGGCGAGATTTTAAATATCGCCCTAAGTTAGTCGAATTAAGTCAAAATGAGTTGAAATTTGTTTCATGATGCTTATAAACATACACTCATTCATTTACAACCTTCAAAACATGGAAAAACATGTATTTTGAGTAAAAGCAAATATTCTCGCCCATGGGCCAACATATTTTTCGCCCATGGGCGAGATTTTAAATATCGCTCTAAGTTAGTCGAATTAAGTCAAAATGAGTTGAAATTTGTGTCATGATGCTTATAAACATACACTCATTCATTTACAACCTCCAAAACATGGAATGTTTTTGAGTGAAAGTAAATATTCTCGCCCATGGGCCAAAATGTTTTTCGCCCATGGGCGAGATTTTTAAATATCGTTCTAAGTTAGTCGATTTAAGTCAAAATGAGTTGAAATTTGTGACATGATGCTTATAAACATACACTCATTCATTTACAACCTTCAAAACATGGAAAACATGTATTTTGAGTAAAGAATATTCTCGCCCATGGGCCAACATATGTTTCGCCCATGGGCGAGATTTGTTAATATCGCTCTAAGTTAGTCGAATTAAGTCAAAATGAGTTGAAATTTGTGTCATGATGCTTATAAACATACATTCATTCATTTATAACCAAAATGAGTTGAAATTTGTGACATGAAAACATGAATTAACATCCAAAACATGGAAAACATGTATTTTGAGTCCAAAAAGGATATATTCTCGCCCATGGGCCAACATATTTTTCGCCCATGGGCGAGATTTTTAATATCGCTCTAAGTTAATCGATTTAAGTCAATATGAGTTGAAATTTGTGACATGATGCTTATAAACATACACTCATTCATTTACAACCTCCAAAACATGAATTCTGATCGAAATTAAAAACGCCCATGGGCCGGCCCATCGCCCATGGGCCACTGTTCGAGTTTAAATTTAAAGTTTTCGAAATTTTTTTTTTTCATTTTTTCATCCTTGGCATATGTTCATAACAACTGCATGTTTAATTTGGTCAAATCCCTTGTCAGAAAGTGCCCACAGTGCGGAGAGTTTCTGGACTTTTGTGAGTCCAGAATTAATTTGTGACGTGTTAAAACCATTTCGTAATTTTGAATGAAACAACCGATGAACAACCATTTTCCCAATGTAACGCTAGCCATTCTTGGGGACACGTGGGTATTCGATCTGCCCGGTGAAGAAAACACCTTGTACGTCCTGCACTAAAAGACAACATATATATATATACGAGAGGGTGTCACTAGCAGACTTCAAACAGCCAGACTGGTTGATCAACATGACCCTCACCTCACCCCACAAGGAAAGCAACAGGCCCAACAAGCCTTCTTTACGACAACCAAACAAATCATAGAAGAAAATTCACAATAAACTGTTTCGCGGACATCAACATAACGTAGCCAGCCATCTCAATGAGCTGTAGGTAAATAGCCGAGCCGAGAAACACACACACTGCGAATCGCCCACAGCGCTCGCTCAATGCTACCGAGACGGCAGCGAGTCGACCCGGGGGAACTGCCGAGAGATGCGGTATGATTTAGTGGAAATCAACATAACGTTGCCAGCCAGCCCACCAGTCGGCTGCAACTCGCCCACAGCGCTCGCTCGGTGATACCGAGATGACGACCCGGGAGGAAACTGCCAAGAGATGTGTTTCATTCACTTTCAGACATCTGTAGGCTCGCTAGTCAGCCGGTCGTGCATCATCATCATGGTCGAGCCGAGAGACACACACACTTATACTCATCCACGGCGCTCGCTCAAAGCAACCCCCGAGACGGTAGCGAGGTGATGACTTCCGAGACCTGCGTTTTATTCGGCTAAAAACACCTCTCGCCTCGATAATATAATTGACCGATTTTCGTCATCTTACTACTCAAACCTCAAGTCATCTTACTGCTGTTCCAATGACTCAACTTGATATTTACTCGCAAGGGCAGGTGCAGACTTCGGAATCTATTTCAATTAGAAGGAGAATATTCCAGGGGGACTCCTTTAGTCCTTTGCTTTTTTGTTTGTCTTTAAATCCTTGAGATTTCTGCTCAATAAAGAGGAGGATTACCACCCCGGACCTCCTCAGCCAGATCCCCAACACCATTTGTTGAGAAGCTTTCTGAGAAACCCTTGCATCGTGTGTACATGCAGTGCGTGGAATAGAATAGCAATCCAACCGACTCCTTCGCCTGGATGAAGTCGGCTGGTCTTAAATGTGAAACTGAGGGCTTTCTTTTGCTGCTCAGGACCAGCCACTTCCACTCGCAATTGCCAAATGGTGATTTTAAATGAAAATGTTAATATGAAATGTCGACTTTGCAATGAATTCACAGAGACTGTCCATCAGTGGACTATCAGTGGATGCCCTTTTTTGGCACAAACAACATATCTTAAACGACATGATGGCATGGCTCGTTGCTTTTACTATAGTCTTCGCCATGCCTGTGGCTTTGACTTAGAGGTCCATCCATGGTACGACTCTGAATATGTCCAGGGCGTCATGGAAAATAATGCTTTCAAACTTCTTTGGAATAGGCCCATATCCAGCCTCAGAAGAATTCCAGCCAACAAACCTGATCATGGCCTTTTTGATAAAGCCAATGAATTTATTTATATCATTGAATTTTCTGCCCCTTTTGACAGCTATGTGATTGGCGAGATTCAGGAAAAGCATGCTAAGTATGCGGACCTCGCCTTTGAAATGTCTCGCTTGAATCCCAAGTATACTGTCGTCGGGCTCCCCATTGTTCTCAGTGCCCTTGGTTTGGTACCTCCTGATCTCTTGGCGCAGATCAAGAGAGTGCCCGGGTTCTCCACAGGGAGTACAGCCCTACTGACACTCTGGGTAATGCAGAAGGCTACAGTGTGGGGGAATCTACATATTCTCCGGAAAGTTCTTGGTGGGTTCGACTAGGCAGCGTTTCCATTCACTCTTTGGGCTGCGTGTAGAGGGGGCGAGGGCCCTGAGCTGACGATGAACCTTACCAGCCTGACTGTGCCAGGATCACCCGAATCCTCGCTGCTGCATTTTCATCTTAATCTGTAAAACATAATAATAATAAACAGACCATTGCATCGTGTGTACATGCAGGGCGTGGAACAGAAAAGCAATCCATCCGACTCCTTCGCCCGTATGAAGTCAGCCGGTCTTAAATATGAACTGAGGGCTTTCTTTTTGCTGCTCAGGACCAGTCACTTCCCACTCGTAATCGCCAAAATGTGATTCTTAAAGAAAATTACCAAATAAAATGTCGACTGCTCTCTGCTGCATACTAATTTTAATCTGTAAAACATAATAATAATAATAATAGGCTTCCAATTGTCCGTGGCTGAGTGCTTTTGATGGCTGACATTGTGTATTGGCGATTAGGTGTCTGACCTCCTGTTAGATCGAATCCCGAATGGGAGTAGTGGCATCCCAAGTAAGACATGTGTTACAAAGCTGACCACTTCTCACATTGTGTATTCACAGCTTTTGGCCGTGGGAACCGTGGACGTTTTACACTTGTCAGAAAGGTACACAAAGTCCGTGGTCCATTCCTGTGGAAGTAGCGCTGGCTAAGTGGGTTAGGTGGCTGAGTTGTATGCTGGCGACTAGGTGCTTGACTGTGAGACTGTGGGTTCATCTCCCAGATGGGGCTCAACCCAACAAAAGTAGTGTACTTAACAGTCTAGTCTCAAATATGACGCCTTACTTTTGTGGGTTTTTTTTCACACTTTATTACACAGACGTTTTGTATGTACACTAATTCTAAAAATATGCATTTTAGGCATTAGGGGCCTCATTATACAGTGTCCCGAAGCTTTTGAATTGTAAATACGCGCGTGGATTGGAAATGTACTGGTATAGACATTTCAAATTCATAAATTGAAAAACGGGGGATTGTTTGTTAACAATAGCATCTGTATCACTTCAGACACATACTGGATGGGCTTAAGGGATATCCGTGACGACGATGTCTTCCTATGGATTAACGGTGAACCTCTGACATACACTAAATGGTATAGTGGAGAACCCACTCACAAAAATGACTTAGGAGTGAAGGAGAACTGTGTGACTGTAAGCATGAGTAAGGGAAATCGCTGGAACGACCTACCATGTGATAGATTATCTAGTTTCATATGTGAAATATAACGGTGTGCAAATATTCATCTCGTCAGTACATACTCAATATAGGAGTGCAGGAGAAATTTACATTTAGAGTACTGAATGGAATTTAATGGAATATCAGTAATCCTGAGGATCGTTTCATTTATGCACCACAACCTTGCTACTCTTGTGTAAAAGGTCAATAAACAATAAAACAAAACTTTGTTGTTTGTGTTATCATGGTTTTGTTACAAAACTGTTTATTCAAAATGTTAAAGTGGTCAGAAGGTCATTTCTAACTGAATTTGGAAGACTGAAACATTTAAAGGTAAATGCCATTTGTAGTTAGGTTTAACTTTAATTCCATAAACTATCCATCTCAGTCCTGGAATCCCAATTAAGTAAGTGTGAATAACATCTCCACCCATCATCATGATCATACTATACTTTTCAACAATTGGAATCATTACATGAGTATTATTGAGTCACTTGACTGACAATTCAACTTTGTAAGCTGACCATGTACATCATACATCTATGCTCTAAGCAAAACTGAAATAGGTATGCAGGGACTTTGCAGTAACATTTGATTATCCTAACTGAGATAGACCCACAACAACTGCAGGATAAGAATAGTACACAGCTTCTCTGAGTGAGTGAGTGAGTGAGTAAGTTAAGATTTAACGTCACATCGGCATTATCTCAGCCATATCGTGACAGCTGCTCTGATGCTCTGCAATATCACTGTACATGTGTGTGGTTCTTTGCCCTTTAGGTCTGGGTCAACAAGAACAACTTGGATATTTCTAGGGTTGCCGTTCTAACACCTGAGTTACTGAAAAAACAAATAGGGTAGTAAATCTGGATTGCAAAGGTTCTAGGGGTGTCAGTTTTGTGTACTGAATCCACACATGCAAGACTCAAGCGATGGGCTTGACAATGGATGCACTTATAATGGAGAATGTGTGTTCCTCTGAACACCTACACCTGTTTTCATCCCCATCATGACGACTGTAGCTTCAGTTCCAAGGTTAACTAGTCTTACACAGCACGAGATGTCAAATAAATCTGTAAAATACGAAGAATATGCTTTATGGAAGCTTTGACCTTGCAATACATGGAGTTAATTTAAATCAAATACATGTCTTTGGATGCCTTGGGTGAAGCACAAATTTATCCTACTCAACAGAAGTTAAGGGACAAAGGTGGATTTCAGCATGACATTTAATTACGCATTGCAAACATATAAAACAGATTTTCCAAGCGTAAATATGGTTAGAATTGGTTAATATGCCCTAAAGCTGCGGACTGTGTGCAAACCATATGCATATCAAAAGCTTTCTGAAAAGCAAGAAATGGTTAAATTTACGTCACGTTTCCCTTCAGTATTTATGTTCCAGTAAATGAAGAAGAAATATATTGTCAATAGTGGATTAACTCATTCAAAAACCAAACTGGATATTTGAAGTTCAAACCAAACAGTAAGTCTTGTATTAATTACTGATCTATATTGCTAGAAGGATATAATCTGTATATCATTTGGGTATTTATACACTGCTTAAACTAGCGGCAATAAGCTCAATATTCCAAGCCTGGGAAATTTAGCTCTTCTTTAGTACTTCATTATAGTGTATTAGTGGGGAATTTCCCATTTTTTCTGTTTCTTTCTTCAATTTCTTCTTCTGTTATTACACCTCCTCGTAAGTCATCACACTGTACACATTTCTCACAATTAACAAAAGTTTGATTGAAGATATAATTCTTGACATGCAGCATCCGATTCTATCTCTGGATTTATATATGTCTAAAATAGGTCAGCCATGTGTATCTTGCCCTAAGAATCCACATAATTTCTTAATTAATTTCTAAAATATTTTACAATGTTTGTCTTGTGATCCTTTAGATACATTTCATGTTAAATATATTTTTCTGTGTGCAAAAATGTGGGAAATATTTTATCAAAGATATGTATTAGGTATTCACAATCACTTGTCTTTTTGAGGTGAGGTGAGGTGAAATTGGGTTTAACGTGGTGCTTGAGAATATTTCGCTCATATGACGACGTGCATGCGTGTGTATGTGTATGTGCGGCTGCCTGTACTAGCCCAGACTAAAGCTGTTTTTTTATAGTGCTAACCCACTGAGATACCATGCCGCAGTGAAGCATGAATACCCCACTCAGACACATTATACTGACCCCGAGCCGACCAGTCCTTGTTGTACCCATTAATGCCGAGCGCCAGGCAGGGACCAACAAGTACCATATTTAAACGTCTTTTGGTATGACGCTGTCAGGGATCGAACCCGCGACCTTCCGCTCTCCGGGCGGACGCTCTAACCACTACACCACGGAGGCGGGCTCTTTTTGAGGGATTGAGTGAGTGAGTTAGGATTTCTAGTCACATCGGCAATATTGCAGCTATATCGTGACTAACAAATTACAAATTCAAAATAAATGCAATTAAATAATACAATAAACTGGACAGTAAAACAAGAAGACAAAGTCATCAATATCCCCCGGAACAGTGCCAACTTTGACATGGCAATACAATATTTATAAGGAAATTACAACATGTGATGCCACAGGTCAGTGATGGTCAACTTGAGTTACTCTCACAAGAATTTGGAAAAGAATGAAAGTTCAGTTGTTGTTTTTTAAAAATCTTGTGAAAGTTTATAATTTTAGATGTAAACGCGACAGACATGTGTGTAACCCAGAAAAGGCACATCTAAGGATCATGCCTGGCATGCATATCAAGTTTGGTAAAGCTTTTCTTAAAGATTTCCACGGACAAAATGAATTCTTCTTAGAGTCACAGTTCAAGTCACGTTTCCATGGAAACCACAAAAAATACAATTCATATCAGGGTCTAACCCCCAAAAGGCACATCTAGGGATCATCGTTGACATGTGTACCAAGTTTGGTTAAGCTATCTAGCTAAGCTAGGAGATATGCTTCGGACAAAGTGTGAGTGAGTGAGTGAGTGAGTTAAGATTTAAAGTCACATCGGCAATATTTCAGCCATATCGTGACTAAAACTAGTTCTAAATTCATAATACATACATATAATATATAAAACCCTGTCAGCAAAGGACAGTAAAACCACTAGGTTATCACAGATTGAGTTAAAACTAGCTAGCAGATATCTGTAAAAGTACAAAACTATTTTTGGACAATACAATGTAAAAATGGGCTATAGATCGCCAACAACTGAAGGTGGATCACCATACTAGGAACCATGGGGACTTACAGTACTTTTGCTACCTGCATGGATCCTAGCTGGATTTACACCATCCCTTCAGCTGCTGGCGATTGTAGGAAAATTCAGCCAACAGTTAAAATAACAAAAATACTACGATTAAAATGTGATAATTTATATTTTACTTTGAAAGTTTTGGGGCTTACGTACCCGGACAAAGTGTGACGGACGCACGGACGGACGGAACTCGTTTCTATACCCCCAAAATTCGATAATGGCTAGATTATCACAGATAGAGAATTAACACTAGCATGTAACTGTAAAATTTTATGAACAATGCAATAACATATATTAACTGGCTAGAGATCACCAGCAACTGAAGGTATGTCACCATATTAGGGACGATAAGGACTTACTTGTCTTTTTGAAAAGTCTAACATTAAACATCAAACAGTTATTTTGAAAGCATTTTGGTTTCTGGTTAATTGTCTTGGATCTTTTGCAGTCTTGACTAGAGATTCACCAGCAGCTAATTGCAAACACACTGTGATCAATATCATGTCCAAATGCGTTTCCTAATGGCTCTGTATTAAAAGATTGTTCATTTCTAAGTTGTTGTTTTTTTAAATCGTCACTTCTACAGTTCTCTCAAACTTCACTAAAAAACACTTTACATGCACATGTTGTTGTGTTGCACGTGCTGCATCGTGCTGGTTTGTTCACGTGCCATCTCAGTTGGCTTTAAGGACATGTGACCTGAATGCCTTTTGTTCAGCAGATGAAAAGATTCGAAGACATCCGGATTACACCACAGATGCAGAGATGCCAACCCCAAATTGGTGCAATTAGGAATCTGAGCTCCCTAAGATTGAAAAACTTAGGAATTTTCCCAACAAATTAGGGATCCCTATAAATTGCAGTTTACACACACAAAAAAAACCAGTTCACCTACCAATTTACTCGTTTAATTCTCTGTATGTTGCACTTTTAATTTTTCTCAGTGTCTCTTGTGGCAATTGTTGCTGGACAGCATTTGGATATGCTAATGAATGACACTTTGGCACCATCAATGCCGAGAGAACCTCGACACTTAAGTTGGGTCTAAACTCTGTTTTGTTCTTTCTCACAGAACTGAAAACCCTTTCACAGTCAGAATTTGAATGTGGTAAGGTAACAATATCCTTCATCACCTTGCACAGATGACTATACTTGACACAACCATCATCATTTTTGAGCTGACCCATCTTATGCCAAGCCACATCAATCCTCTCTTCTTTCAAAATTTCCTCTGTGAGTGGATCATCTTGGTATCTGTGAAATTTAAGTTCCATTTCAGCACACACTGAAATGGCACTGTTGTCAGTCTGATCATCACTGCCCACTTTAGGAAATCTCTCAAGAAAGTATTTCACAGATGCATAGTTAGCAGACCTTCTGAGATGTATGTCTGCAACTTCTGCAGGAAAAAGTAACTCATCTCTAAATGGACATTTCTGCACAACATATCTGCAGGCTATAGTAGAGAGAAATTCAATTCCTCACACTCTTGAAGAAAGTGTCTTGGTCACTTGACGATAACTCCGAAGCTTCTGACATTTCATTGAAGTACTTTTTGGTATATGTCCCTATCATTACTTCTTCTCTTCATCCCGATGTTTTCTTTCACTAAAGTGAACATCCGACAGTGTTTTGGCCTTGGACACTCATACCTGATACATACAGAGATGCTACTTTTCTTTTAAGCTTCATTATGTAGAAACACATTCACTTGATCAAATACTGGCAATGTTGGTTTTAGAAACAAACAGTGTTAGAACCCAATTTTAGAATCCACTTCGTATTCGTTCTAGTCTGGTAATCATAGCACAAGTTTCTGGTCATTTGTTGCTTTCATATTTTTCTCACACTGCTTAGATTTGTCAGGTTTCACTGTAGTTTCATTTTCTTTTTGTTTTCCATCTTCTTACTCTCCTCTTTAGTCTGTCCCTCTTTCACAAGTCTCATTTTGTCACTTTTCTCTCTGGTTTGGACTTTATGGATACAAACCTATCTGCTTCCTTTTCACTTCTTTTCCTTTCACAGGTTTGGTTTTGTCCTTTTCTTTCTCCATCTTTGTGTTCTTGGTTTCAGGTTCATCCTGTTTGTTTACTGATAACACCAACTTTATCCTTGTTTGACTTTTGATCATATGATTCTGGTTCCAGTTTTCCTTTCTTTTCTTTTTACTTGACAAAGATTACATAGAAACTCGTAGAGGGAGTGCTTAAAATATGCAACAACTGCAGACAGGTGTTACAATAGACGAGAAATGCACGAACCAAGAGACAGCCAACGAGTTGACACATGCTTTAATATTTTATGTTGCTTTACACCAAAAAGGTTCTGAAAGTGATTAAGTTCTTTTTGACGTTTCGAACTTTTATGTAAGTAAAAGTATATCAATTAGAAAGTCTTCAATTTATACGGGCAATTCTTTTCCTGCATGTCTGACAGCCAAATGAATTAGGTGGCATGCACACCCTTGAATGTAGACACTTTCATGCTGTTTTCTGATAAATGCAGAGGACTCCTTTGTGGATACCTGTCATGCACTGGCATTGTCACAGCTGAAGCTGATACAATTCTCCCAGCTGATATTTCGCTGAGAAAGTTCTCTATTCAAAACATTACACATGTTTTCCCCAGTGAAAGATTCCTCCTCACATTTAGACACGGGCAGCAGCAAGCATACAACCACCCCTGCCTTATCATCAAAGTATCTAACCACTACAGGATATAACTGAGATATTCCATCATCATTACTGCCATCAGTGGCCAAAGAAAATGGTGTATGAAAGGGGTCAGCAGAATTTGTACTTGATGTTTCAGCTGCTAAAGTTTTCATAATTGCAGTAGTAGTCTTTGTTCGTCCACATGCATACGTTCTGCAACTTTGCTGTCTGGAAACATTCGTTTGGGGCATACTTTATCATCCGTAGCTATTGGCAAGTTACTATCAAACCGTGAAATATGTTTGCGGTTTTGTATTGGTCAGTAAACCAAACCGGTTAAGGAACGAAACTTTTCAATGCCGATCCTCTTAGCGATCCTTATACAATTGAAACCGGTTTGCAGTACTCGGCAGCAGTGTTTGTGAATGTTAAGTGAATAGAAAAAACAGTGTGTGGAATTTATCAGGCAGCCTACTAACTTCCGGATTACTTTTCTTGTTTAAACAATTCGAGTACATTTGTAAATATAGTGTTCTATTCATGTAATTATCTTTATTTATAGTCAAATATGATCCTAGCCCTCCAGTAAGTAAGACTATCTATATCTTTTGTTATATTTAGAAGAAAATCGGAATGAATTTGACTTTGTCGGAATGGCGGAATCGACACGCATTTTTCGGGATGATTCCGATAAGTTCGGGAGGGTTGGCATCTCTGCAGATGAATCTGCATTCATGTCATTCATTTAACAGTTCAAATAGTTTACCTCCGATTTTTCCAGTCCATTTTCCGATTGTGTTTCATTGCCTTTTCCAGGTACATGTACATGTTTTAACAAAGACCCCCGTCCTATTCAACATTCTTCAGAACTAAATCATAACCAGGAATTAGAACCCGAAAATATGTGTCATTTTTAGCCCGTGTCTCGAACAGAATATAAAGCCTGCCCAGAGAGTGGAAGACTTGTAGTTCTTCTCCCGGTCGCGCCATAACATACTTGTTATCCAGTCTTACAGGTTAATAATCAGTCTTGTAGCAAAGAATGGTGTAAATAACCATAGGGGTAAAGGGATTCTAAAGTCAGTTTCTTTGATTAAAAATGAACAAAACGTTGGTAAAAAAAAAAGTGACTGCAGGGAATCAGGGTTTTAATAACGAGTGATCTAAAGATGACAAATCCCCCACTGAACAGTGCCCAATGTGTTATTGCATTGTTCATGGTCTTGTACACCACATTCTTCAACTTTGTACTGACAACGTGGTAAGCGCAAGACGAGAAATCATGTGGCTGGATATTCTAGACATATTCGGTGTAGACACATATGTTCTGTTAGACAATATAGAACAGAGAACGCTGACCGAAGTGCTGCTCGGACGTTACACTTATGACATTGACACCATACAACTGCTGCTACTGGTTGGACAGTTTGCTTCTGGGATCGACTGGTCCAGTTTCACTTTCTAAAGACTCCAATGAATAAATCATAACATTTCAACACTTGTGGCTAACAACTTAAGCTTTTAATATTCAATTAATTTTGTATCTCCAAATCTGGAAGAATTAAATAAACCTACCTACCTACCCTAAACCCCCACAGCTTATAACAACAAAGTTCATGGTCCAGTGCACTGCTAATCTCCTGCCTGTTACCTATTCCATACAATTGACCAGCCCAAACACTTAGATATTAACAGAATGATTCTAATGAGCAACAACAAGACAAGCGTTTGAGAGAATGGTTTTAATGGATGACAACAAATATATTTTAACAAAAACAGTTCAATAATATTTAACTTAAGGTTTAATTAACTTCAATAAATATAACAACATATCAAATATCACGTTCCATGTAAGTACATTGTTACATTTACTTAAAGTAAAACTTGATTTTTGGGACTAAGTGCAAATCGTTTCCATGGAAACCGAGAAAAATAAAACTGGCAAAAATCTGTAAAAGGAAACGGCACCACTTCAAAATCTGTTTGATATATCTGCCAAGTTTTGTTGAAAGATATTGAACGGTTTTCGAGTTATGCTCCGGAAAGAAAATGATTACGGACGGACAGACGAGGGGTCGACTATATCCCACCGCATCACATGGCGAGGGATAAAATAATTATACTTCAGACGGGGGAAAATAAAATTGTCTGTTACAAAAAATACACTGTTGCAAGGAATTTCGTTGAAGAAAATGAGGATCCTAGTTCTCATGTATAAATTATCAAGTCTCCGGATCCTAGTTCTCATGTATAAATTATCAAGTCTCCATACAATTATACATGTCAGGTCAATGTATATTTCCCTTTTTTACCTTATTGAAATGGTCGTATCCTTTGTAAGCCGATGAAAATAGAGAACAACTTCCACGGAACACAGTACTGACAAATGACGCGCTTTATTCGACAAAATGGAAAACAATGACTGAAATAGGTACTTCATCATTTGTCGTTGTATTTACTTTTTAGGGGTGACTGCCGGGGAGACCCGAAATGATCAGAAGACAGGAGTGCATTCTTGCCACGTTGACCCATATGAATCCAAACCTTTCTCCTGCCTAAATCTGTCTTTTCATTTGGAAAACGGAAAAAATTGTGGCTCTTTCTATTGTTCAATGACGCCGCGCATGCCCAGGCAACACAATACACCATTGCACCATTTACAAAAACCGACAGAAAAAGTAAGATTTGTATTTCTGTAGAGCCTAGTCTAATGCAATATTGGGCCCGTAAACTAGGTCATGGCACTTTGCGAGACCTTAGGTTGTTTAGTACTTCCGGTTACAACAACGTTTTACGGCAATGGCGATAGAACTTACAAGGGACATGTCCTGGCTGATCTTACTCGATACACTCTGTTCGAATCTTGCTATGACATGCAACCGGCTACAAAACTCTTGGACAATGTTGCATAAATAGCACGTGTATATATCTGCCAAGTAGCTGCAGAGTTGTCAAAGCGTCTTCAGGCTGGCCTATTCATTAGTCGAGGTAAGTTTATTGTTTTCTTTGTATAAATCAACCATAATAGGTAGAGTGAGGATGAAATGCTATGTGTGCAGAACGGCGAATAGTTTGATTGTATTTGGTACTATATAGTAGGATTTTGCAGTTGTAAATTTATGATCACTTACGTTATTCATCATAGCTAAGACGCATGTACACGCATTTACGTCTTTGATCATAACAAACATCCATTAATTCATTCTGAGCCCTTTCCTGTCAATCGGAGGTGTCGTCGAGCCCAGAGAAATCGCTGACGTCGATGTAATGGCTTCAAAATGGTTCCGCGATATTGTCGTCGAACACGAAGGTGAGCAGCTCGCAGCCGGTTTCGGAAAGTTTGTGCCGACAATCGACCTCTTAAACAACTCATTTGTGGTTCCTGTAGTCGTCCAAAACGGCTACGGAGGTGACGTAACACAATTTGACGGTCCTCCACCTGTGACCTCACACGTGGTCGACCTGGCCATGGGCGATGAACAGTGGTGCCAGTTTGTTGCAGTCTGTAAATCATAAACAGTCCGACGGCTGCACCCCACTGTCCTTGCAACGTCACTTACTGACGTTCCCGCTTCCAGCATGCCAACTTTACGTTCACGCTGCACATTTTAGAGGCGCGGCATAAGAATTGGCTGTTTTCACTTTGTACAGGTGATGGGAACACGTGCAATGACAAGTTCATGTGACCAATGGCACGTGAAAAACACGTTGTTAGCACCATTGTGGGGTGCACGATGTTTGCATTGACTTAAATGTGCATCGGTGAGTTTTTTCTTGAGCCAATACTTAGGGATTAATATTATGATACCCGAAAACTGTCAGCTATAACAATTCATATTTTATTTACAAATCCTCCAAACCATTTAATTTGTACTTGCTTAACTGCACTTAAAGAACAATAAACAATTTTAGAACCATCCAGTAACTCTTTTTAAAGGTCATGATAACTCATTAAATAAAAAATCCTTTGTATTTACCAGATGTCAAGCCTGAAAAAATACTGTAACAGTATAAACAAGAATATTTCCATGGTCACCATGGAGATTCTCACTGAATTTTCCGAGACTCCCTGGGCGTTTCAGAACACCGTGCTGTATTGCTGATGACAAGCGTTTCCTGTTCAAGCAGGTGTCCATAGTATCGTGTATAGGCATTTAGTACGTTTACATACAACTAGTGCTGTTACTTCATTGGCAATGTATTGCTTGACCACCAGATGTTCAACGAAATCTGTTACAGTTTGTGTTTCGCTTAATGTCAATGTGTTGATACAGATATCTACTCTTTCCTCTCTCTCTCGCCCTGAACACGTGAATCTGATCCAACTGCAAAAACATTATAACATTATAGCAAATATGATAACTTCTAAAATACAAACAGTTCCTTAGAATATTGACATCAAGATATTATTGATAAATTAAGCATGTACATGTTAGGTTTAAATAAACATATTACATCATAACAAAATGCTAAATGGGGTTGTAATGATCAAGCTCATATTACGGTATAATTATCATTATTTACACAACATTACATTATTATTTAATTTATTACATGAAATTCTTTCATAACTGAACCTAAACTTTCACTGCACATAAAATTATTTTCTGGATAAATCCCAATTGCAAGATACTTTTTTTTTTTATTAACACTGTCTCTCCTAAATGGTTTTTGCACAACTTGAAGACAACATCATTAATATCACCCCCAAAATCACAAAATAGCCAAAATGTAAGTAATGTGTTTTTTCTCATCCGTCTCCATCGGTCACAAAAGCATTTTTGTGAGGTTCCAATGAATTTTACATTGCATTGCCCGACTTGTTTTCAGTAATAAATCAAGATTTACCCGCAGATTCGCTGATAGTAGGATGAGTGTGGAAGCGATGTCGTAAACGTTATGCTCAGTTTTGTATACAGTAAGCTGACAGGGCGGAAGTGTCATGCTTTCTGTGGGATTGCCCGTTCCCGATTTCTGGTTATCCGTGGGAACCTTAATGCTGCAGGTAACCGTGACCAGGTGCTAGTCCCCGAACTCTCAGGAACCAATCCCAGAATTTGCAGGATCTTGGTGTTGCTTGGAAATTAATTTCTAGTGACTTGACACTCTGTTTACGCGTTTAAAGATTCTGTAACCACATTGAACCGATTTTTGGCATTGTGATTATTCTCAGTTTATCATATCGACCTTAACAAATAAATGATAGCATCTATACCACATTCTTGTGGTTTTTTAATATATTATTTAATATATGACTGTGGAATTTCTAGTTAGACTCAGTATATGAATGTCAGTTACCAAACTTGGCAGAGAATTTGGAAACCAAATTTGGCGGTTGTGCAATTTCGAACCAGAACTGGTTCTTGAATTATAACATGTCACCGGAAATCTGGTATCGGAAGTAGAGCTTCGCGAAACTTACGGGCCCAATATGGCCGATCTAAGTCACAAATGACGTCACGAATGAAAAAGTCGAGCAGAATATGCATAATGACCAAAGCTTCAGACAACAGAAACTGTTTTCGCGATTGAAATATGCATAAAGTACTTTTGCATTAAAAATTGGGGTACATGTTTCTGTGACTTCATCTTTCACTTAGTCAGTTATTGCAATTTTCGAGTATTCTCTTTAAACTTCTTTTTAAACCTGGGATCTATACGAAAGACTACACACCACCACGACCTTAAATACGTGTGTTATGAACACATGTTGCATACATATAACTTACGAGTTTATTATTAAGATATAAAAGGGCTCAA